CATTAGCAAAAAGCATACACCAAGGTACATCCTCTTGCAAATGTCTAGTGAGAACATCTATGACTAAAGCAAAAAGATATGGGCTTAAGGCTGATCCTTGATGTAACCCAACCGAAATAGGGAAATACTTGGTCAATCCACCTTGTGTTTGAACACAAGTAATAGCTCCTGCATACATATCTTTAATGATTTGAATATAAGCATTATTGACTCCTTCCTTTTCAAGAACTCTCCATAGCACTTCTCTTGGAACTTTGTCATATGCTTTTTCTAAATCAATAAATGTCATATGTAGATCCTCCTTATTTTCTCAATATTTCTCCATCATATGTAGAAATGGGTGTTAGTTGGGCTAAAAAAAATATGACTATTTTCCTTTTTCTATAGCTTGTAAGAGCAGTGAAGAAGTGTCTAGAGTTCATTAGCAAAGTTGTTAAGGGAATGGGGCACATTTCAAGTTGATTTTAAAGCAATAAAGAAATATAAACATGACGGGAAAGGGGTATAATTGGTTGGTAGCCATTGTTTGCAAGACAATGAAATTTTGAAAACGTTCCCTTTCTCTCTTTTTCTTATCCTGCTCACTGTTCTTTTTCTGTTTCCCTCACTGTTCCACCAACCTTCCCATCGCCCTTTGCTGCTTGGAGTCGTCGGGAACCTCCAATCTATTGTTTATCTCTATCAAAATGTTACATTGTTCTATTTATAGCCTCATAAAATACTTTTAACGCGAAGGCATTAAGAGAGATATAAAGAGAAAAAAGAGAGAGTTTAATAAGCTTGTATTGCATCCCAATTTCTCTTAGGGGAAGTTTGGTATCGGATTTGGCATAAGATTTAAGCAGGATTTAACCTAAATCCAGCCAAACGGTATTTTGCACGTCTGTAAATCCCGCGACGACGTAAATCTGGGATTTAAAGATTTACGCCGTAAATCCGTGTAAATACAGGTAAATCCTAATCCCATTATTTGGTGGATTTAATGAGATTTACAGTTGTGCAAGTTATCACTTGCGGCGCCCGTGTCAAGGAGTTCCCACAAGGACTTTATGTAGATGGAAGACGCAGTTGCTTCGCCCCCATCCCTAGCCCAAGTCGCTCTGATCTTTGCTCAGTTAGCGTGTTCCTCCACCTGGTACGCATCTTCCGCAGCATTCCTGCCAGTTTCCTCTCTTCTTCGTGCAGGTATCACTCGGCCCCAACTCCTGAATTTCATGCGTATATTTCCTTTGTTGTGCTCAAAACAACCCAATCGACGTCCCTTTGCTACTTTAGTGTAAAATAACACAACAATGCTTTGACAATAAATAGACCGAGTGCGAATAAATGAGTATTTGATATTTTTTTTATTTGATATCTTTCATACAGTTTTCGGTTGTATGATTGTTTGATACTTTATAATATTTGAATGTTTTTCTTTTTGGTGTTAATGTTTGTTATGCAAAATACTTTGTTGGGTTAGTTATTCATATTGGAAAACATTAGCTATGAAGTTCTATGCTCTATATGAGTGGATTTTTTTTTTTAGTTGTATTCGAATGATTGAAAAATTAATAGACAAAAAAAATGAAATTATTTGTGTGGTTAATTGAGTGATTTCTTGATACCATGTCATGTCGCCGTGTGAATAAATGAATGCTTTTGTAATACACATTTAGGTTTCGTCGATATACATGTAGAATGTGTGAGCGACAACGAGTCATCAAATGCTATCTACTTACATAAAATTGGTAAAACTTCTTAAAAGTTAATTTTTTTTTTGCTTGCTTGAACAAATTTGAAACTTCATAGAAAGGATATTCTTCTTTATGTTTGACAGAAATGCATAAAGTCTTAAAAGGAAAAGTTTTTGCACGTGCAAGCTCTACTACCCCACATCGTTCCGGTGATGACAACTCAATTTACTCCGGCCAACCCAAAAGCATGACTCGAAATCCTAAGTGGCCAAATGATCATAACCTCGTACTAGGCGAGCTACTGTTGGAGCAATATGTAAATGGGAATTTCTGTGATGGGAATTTGAGGAAGGAACAGTGGTCAAGTTTAGTGGTTTTGTTGAACCGGCGTCTAGGATCAAACTACAAAATCTTCCATAATGATACGATTTAAAAACATGAAAGCTAACTTTATAACACTTTATCAATTGATAAACCATAGCGGTTGAAGATGGGATGAGGATTTACACATCCCAATAGCACCGAATGAGTTATGGGAGGAAATTATTAAGGTATTATTTTTTCCTATTTAGAAGTGCACGCAAATTAAAAAATTGTATCCCTAACTTAGCCAAATTTTGTAAATGTTGGTTATCCCAAAGCTAACTCGATATCGAAGACATTCCTTTCATCTGTACAAAATCTTAGAAAAGATTTGTGCCGAGAACATTGCTATTGGTACAAGTGTAAGATCGAGTAAGGTAACACAACCCACAGTAAACTTAGATGAAGACGAAACCCCACATTTTGAAGATGCATTCATGACTGCTAATGTTGTGAGCTATGACATGGATGGAACATCCAATAGCAATCTACCTGATGTTGTATATGATGCACCACTAAGTGTAGATGTAGCAGGAAGTCATATGCTACATTCAAAAAGATCTAGCGAAGAACCACTCAAATCAACTAGACGTCTTAAGAAGAAAGGTGGCTTAGCTGAATCAGTTATTGGTGGAGTCAAACAAAAATACAATTGTCTTTAAAAAAACTATTCAGCGTAGTGACCCTTACACAATGATAGTCTTTTTGGCCAAAATAGGCCAATTAGATAACCTAACAATGCAAGCTCTATTAGCTATTCTGGACGTACTTAAGGAAAACAAGAATAACAAAGCAATATTCATGACTTGGGAAGGGGAAGCACTAGCAAAATGGATAGAATATGTTGTCAGCTCACACCCACGTTTTTATGCATCAAAAGTTTGGTTCTAAGTGTTTTGTTTGCATTTATTTCAATTATGTTAGTGTGTTAGTTAGGATACAATATGTTGTCAGCTCATTCTTAGTAGTTGTCATTTTACTTTAAGTTAGTGTGTTATGAGTGTTGTCAGTTTGACTCATAGATGTTTATTGTGATCTTTCCATTTAAAGTTCATGTAACATTGCAATTTTATTTCAATTATGTTTTGTTTGAGTTGTAATATTTGAAGTTCTATCCTAAATGCTATTGAGTTTATTCATGAGTTAGTTATATGTAATATTTGCAGTTATGTCAAACTATTTGTGTGGAGTGTTCCCAGATGTTTTATGTAACATAGTAGACTTACAACTACAAGTAAATGATGTTGTAGACATAATAACTCCATCTATTCTTCAAAATAATTCTTCCTCAGATGATGAACTACCATTAAGGTGGTCAATGTTCGATAGAACATACACTGGGCATCGATATATATTGGATGTGCTTGTTGGGCATCCCGGAAGAGCATACCAATGCTTTAGGTTACCTCCAAATGCCTTCGTGAGCCTGAGAGACCCAGTAGTTAGTCGTGGACATTTGCGGAACACAAAAAATATGCTTGCAGCTAAGCAACTAGGTATTTTTTTACGGGGAGTTTCACATGCTCATAGTTACCACCAATTGCGTGAATGCTTCCAGCATTCATTAGAAACAGTTATCAGGTACTTTAGTATGGTTCTGCGTGCTCTTGTATCCTTTGCAAATGAATTCATAAATTTATCCCAGGCAGATGCAAAATGTCATTTATATATACATTCGAATGCACTATTTTATCCTTCATGAACACAGTCGGTGCAATTAACGGTACGCATATCCCTACGGTGGTTAGTAATAACTTACAAAATCGTTATCGTAACCGTAAGGGCTTTACTTCATAGAATGTAATGGTTGCAGTGTTATTTGATCGACAGTTTGTGTATATAGCATCTGGGTGGGAAGGTTCTGCTACGGATATGTGAATGCTTAGATGAGCTGTCGAGCAAGATCAATTAGGAGTGCTCCGTAATCATTATTACTTGGTTGATTCTGATCATGCAAACACTGATAAGTTGATTGCACCATTTTGAGGATATCAATATTACTTGGTTGACTATCGCGGTAATAATTTTATAAGATATAGATCACCGACATGCCCAATTGTGCAACGTGGTAGAGAGGATTTTTGAAATTTGGAAGGAATGTTTTCATGTATTAACACATATTAGACAGTTTTCTTTTACTGTTCAAGCTGATCTGGTAATTGCATGTGCAGTTTTACACAACTATATAGGTCGATATCATGGATATGATATGTATATTTCAATATGTCGCAAACGAAAAAGGAGTATGATAATGAACATGACGAAGTTGAAATGTATGATGAGGATCCAAACTTGCATACGACAAATGGAAAAAGAATTCAGAGAAAAGCGATAAGGCATGACCTCACAACAGATTTGTGGAATGCTCAGGTAAGCATTTATCTATGCATTTACAATATTTCAACTTTAAATACATTTTATAGTAATTTCATGATTTTTATCAAATAAGTTATCAAAGAAATCGATCCTTCTAAGGAAGTTACTCTTCAATCCAAGATATATCAACATCTCTTTCATCTTGAAGTATATTTTCAGGTTGTAGTCTATCGATATCTAAATAAATATTAGTCTATCATGGTGTTATGTACTCCTTATGCTTCTACAAGTTTCTGTTGTATGATGTCATGTCTGATTTATCATGTGGCATAGAGTTATCTTAATTTTATTACAAGAATATTGATGTAATTCAGTATTATTCATTCATACTTAAATCTCTAACTGTTTTAAATCCTGCAATCTGTTGTCAAACAGTTTCTTAGGATTTAACATGATTTAACATTTATCATAGCAAACAGTTTTTAAGATTTAATAGCCTCAGAATTTACTAAATCCGACTTTACAAGATTTAATAAATTCCACTAATGTTACATCCAATCCAATACCAAACAGCCCCTTAGCCAACTTAGCCATCTCGGCATGTCAATACATCAAAGAAAATTTTCCGGGCTGTGGATGACTTACTGTTGCATTATTGAAAGAGATAGATGGGTCTCCGAGTGATTGTCCTGGTCAATAACGTCCAGAAAGATGGGGTCGACCAGAACGTGGCTTTCCAAGCGAAGCATAAAACGATGGCTCCAGAAGAGCAGGCGGGCGTCGCCGGCGATATCAACTGCGGCATCCAGAGACATGCGACGGCGGGCGGCGTCGGCGAGGATACTGGCGGCGTGTTGGGCGAGCTGCAGACCGTTGAGGCGGGCGGGGAGGTAGACGAGGCTGCAAGACATAGGAGGCTGGGAGCCGGCTTCGAGGGCGGCGGAGCCGAGGAGGGAGCCGGCGTAGAAGATTGAAACGGACGCCGGAGAGTATCGAACTGGGACAATGTTGGGATTGGTCACGTGGACGGCAAGGGTGAGCTCGAGGTCGAGGACGGGGAGGTTGAGGTGGAAGGAGGAGAGGTTGATGGAGACCAATTGGAAGGTTGGGTCTTTTGGGCGTACCGCGAAGATGGCCGCAGCAGCGGCGGCGGCGGATGCTGCGCCGATTGCGGCGGTTTTGTAGCTCACGGTGTAGCGGCGCCGGTTGGTTTCGCCGGTGCTGGCCATCGAGGTCATGATAAGGGCTTGGAGTTTGGATCGTAGCGAAATACGGGTCGGGTATGAAAGGTTCGTATAAATTAAGAATTTTGTATACAATTTGAAATGAAAAAAAAAATCGGAAAAATACGAGTTTCTTATATAATATTTAAATTATGAATTTTATTTTAATAAAAAATTTACTGTTTATATGTTAAATTGATGTTAATAAAAAATATTTTTCATAAAAAATATGTTTATTTTAAAGGTTAAATTTATTAAAAATCTTAATAATTAAAAATAATAATAATAACTGTTATCACACAAGTAAATAATACAATTTAAATAACATGAAATTATATAATTTTATTTTGCAATCAAATAAAAAAAAAATTAAAAGTAACTGCACTAAAATGTATGAAAGTATAATAATAAATATCATAAAAACATTAACATATCTTAATTTCTTAAAACAGTTAAAAAAAAAATTGGAATATGAAATTTAACTCAATTTTTTTTCCTTTTTAGCCCAATAATCCCATTTTTTTTAATTATTTTATGAACTATAAAACAGGTAAAAATTGAATCTAAAGTTAATTTTTTTTCTTAAAATTTGAATCTATTTAGCTTTAATCAATTATTTTTAAGATGGGCAATTTTTTATTATAACATTAAAATGTTATGTATTTATAAAAATATATTATTGATAAATTTTGTCAAGTTCTTTTAATGATGAGTAATAAATTACCTTCTCATTTAATCAATTAGCCAAAAGTCCTTTTCACTCCAACCTCTCTCTTACAAATTTTTTTATTAGTTATTATATTTGTTTAATTCATTCAAATTTGAACCATATGTCCATAGATTTATTTATTTACAAGTTTACCTCATACCTATCCAAATATTTTTACTAAGAAGTTATCTTAATATTTTATTTATTTATTTATTTACTCATTCACATAAGATAATCAATTTAACAATAATTTTTATAATGTTCTCTTATAATCTCTTACTTTTGATAAATAATTTATTTTATCATGGAGGAATGCATTAGGCGTTTTATGTAATAAAAAGGTACCCCTCAAACTTAAGGAAAATTTTTATAAGATAATAGTGAGACCTATAATGATTTATGACAGACAGGAGTGAAACCAGTCTTAGTTTTTTTTTTCTCTTCTTTTTTTCTTTTTTTTTTGAGGAGGGGGGAGGGGGGGGGGGGGGGGCTTGAATTTGGCACGACCA